CAACTTCTTACCAGTGGAGGTGGGAAGTAGGACCATAATCTCTTTCAGAAGGAGAGGACACTGAAGTTTCTTTGAATGTTATCCCCTTTGCTGTGCACATTTTTTAGTTTCTGGTTCTACCAAGGAGTAGTTCCAGCTCTTATACTTCCTTACCCAGTTATACTCTACGTAACTGCAAATGCAGTCTAGCACTTAGTAACTGATGTATTTAGTTGTGGAGAAAGAAAAGACTAGAAGGCATGAAGCATAAGAGTATTGTCTAACTGGATTCTGTGTTTAGTGATCATATAGGAAATATCTGAAAGTAGATATTTTTGGCATACATCAATCTTGAACTTGTTAGTGTGATGTTACAGTTCTTATACAGCATCATCATTCTGGTATCCTTATTAAATGTAGGAAACAGCAATTAATGGAATGTTAAGTTCCTGTTTTGGTAAAAATAAATTAATACAGTAACCAGAATGATACCACATTTGCTAATGGTTCCCTCAGCTATGCCTTACTGCACATCTGCTTCTGGCACATTGTTAGGTAGCATGTTGATACTAATGGACTCAGAGTTTTTATGCCTTAACACTGTGCTATTGTGTTAGTGTTAAGACTTCCTGATCAAACGGGGGGTTTCTGAGGCATGTCAAACTGAAATAAAGAAGTAATAGTATTTTCTCTTAAAGCATTAACCAGCAGTTATGGTCTGCATGCTCTAAAATAACAAAACAAACAAAAAAAATTAAAAAAAAAAAAAGAAAGGAGGAGAAAGCTATTTTAAAACAAAAATAAGACTCTGGATTAAATTCCTGTGTGATTTACCATTTGAAAGATAGTATGTGCCAACATCTTATCATATACCTGAAATACTGAAGTATTCACTTGTTCATTTAATAAAGGATAACTAGCTCAAGAATAATATTTCAGTGATTTCACATATAAAAAAAATTACCACAAGGGAGCAAATTGTTGTATGCCAGTTGCTCCTGAGAAGCTGTTACCCCCTCTTTGCTCAATGCCAGAAGAAAATACCTCTATTTCATTTCTTTGTAGTGTAACACAATTACTCCTGCTGGCATTTACCACTGAATGCCAACACTTAGGAGTGCACCTATGGAACAGCTGCTGCACTGTGAGGAAAATAGGACTCTAGCATAACTGCTTGATTGACCTTTGCTTAATCTAAACTCTGGTTAACTGAATACTTACTCTCCTAGCAGTGCTACTCACCATCATTTGCTCTCAGACTTATCCAAAGTCCTGCATTTTTTTTCCCTCATAACTTTGAATCCCTCTAAGACTAATGGGAAAACAGAATTGTACTCTATGATTTCTGGCTATGCATATTCATATAACAGTGAATACAATTTTCCATCTAGGCACAGAAATGAAATCACTTCTTTAGCGATTTATATGATTTTCTCTTTCAATAAAAGTTCTCTTCTGGGACCACACCAAGGGAAAAACATGGTGGAAGAGAATACATTTGGAATGAATTAAAACAGGTGAAGGAAAAGTACTGGATTCATTGTAGAGGAATTCTGTGATCCTCAAGTTGTATAAATGATAATGTGAAAATCTGGCAGCCTCTTTATTCCTTCCACTGTTCAATATGAGGTGCTCAGTTTGCTTTGGGATTATAGAAGATAAGGAAGGCTTCTCTCTGAAAATGGAATAGATGCTTCTTGGATGCTAAGATACCTGGAAAAATATTATTTGAACCACCTGAAACCACACTTAGAGATTTATCTTTGTAAAAAAAAAAAAAATCCTTTTATTCTACCAAGCAGAACCTCACATTAATTGAAGTTTTGAAATACCCTGCTAGGAATTGCTTTGCAAGCATTTTGGGCATCGCTGATAAGTTTTGCTATTATATTTATAATCATCATATGCTATATTAATCTATCATGGACAGCGCACACTTAAATTTCTAGTTTCTTTGTAATAAGAAAGATTCAGGAAATATTGAAATAATGAAATATTGAAATAAACAGTTACAAAGAAGAGTGTATGATAGATTTTTTATTTTATTTTGTAATATAAATCTTTTGGGGGTTAGGATATTTGGCCTTGTGGACCACATTATTGGTATAACAGAAATTATTGATACAATGTGAATTTATTTTTTAAAACCATTTCAACTTTTATATGCCTTTTCCCAGATTTTATAGCTGCCATATCTAACCAAAGATGTATCATTAATTCATACACTGAAAGCTGCTTTTCGTGAGTTTAGGTCTTGGCTATTAGCTGTTTTGAAGAAGGAAAACAAATCCTGAATTGCAGCAAATGTGTTTAAGGCCATATTATGGGAGCCAGGAGTGAGGGGGCGGTTGGGAGAGCATGGGTATTGGCTTGAGCCACAAAGAGACAAGTCACTAGATTTTACACCATCTTGGAGCTGATGGTAGTCTTCTTACTGTAATCCAGCTGGCAAGTGACAAATGCATGGATTATTTTGGCCTACCTGGCGGGAAAGGCAAAATTTTCTACTGAGTTGGTGATGGAGGAAGGCCCTTCACACTGAAATGCTACATGGCCATCCAAGACCAATAAGAAGTCAAACAACTTTGCATCACTTTGAGAAAAGAAGTCAACATATGTTTTTATTGGAGTCAGGACAGGAGAGGGAAATGAAGATATTCTAGCTAATCTGTTACAGGATTTCTCCCTTTCAAGAAACATCACTTCAGTCTTTCTACAGCTTAGCTTCCCTTCCCTCCAATTTACTTCCCTTCAAGACCTAATCTCTTCCAGCTGTTACGGCAGTGGCAGTGGATGTACTAGTGACAAATCATCTGTTTATTTATAATAGAGTGTTGTTGTCTTTTGAGACTGTAGCACTTCACTAACATGCTGCCATGTGGTCACATAAGACAAAAAGGAGAATAAGCATAAGGATAGTTTTTTACATTTGTGTTGTAAAATGCATTTTGCTATCATTTTTATTGCATTTAAATTGTAAATTATTTATTAAACAGCTGTGAATGAGCTATGTCTTCAGCTTTATGTAGAGCGGTACAAGCAATTACAAACTTTGCTTTTGTGATCTAATGAAAGTTTTTGTTATTGTGTATTTCCTAGTGTGACTTAATTAATTCAGTTCAGAATTAGTATCACCCATACTGGTCTTTTAATTGGATAGAATATAAGCATCTATGTTCCTGACAGTGTTTCTCTTAAGCAGTTACATTAAAAGTTTATTTGATGGCAACAATAGAATGATTATATTAAATACAAGTTGAAATGATTGTGTCTACTTTTATTACACAAAACAATTTACAAAATCTGTCTTAACCAGAATGTAGAGTTACTGCTATGTGATAAAAGAGATTGTTATATAAAGTCATTAAAAGAATCATGCAGACAAGAGTCATTAACTGTGTACATTTAGCTAATGAAAATGGAAAGCAAAAATCTCCTAACTGACTCATAATCATTTGGGTTGAGGGCTCATAATCAGTTATGTGACAGATAAAAAGATCACCGATTAAATGTTTGAACATGGTGGAAACATTATGGAGATGTGTCTGACACACTGACAAAATAAAATAAAATTCACTGAGTGATATTTACTTGTGTTTTGGATTATTTTGTCACTTCCAAGATGCTTCTATAGAATTATTCATCTGTCAGCAGTTCAGAGAATACAGTAAAGTATTTTTTAAACAAGATATGGATGCCTGGCAGGTGCATTGTCTAATGACAGTGTAGCTTTCAAGAGTTTTTATTCAGTGACTAGAGTAATTTTGTAATCTTCTAGTATCTCGTATTTAGAAGAGAGTGTGGTTTGTCTTTCTCTGTTTAGTAGTAGCATGTGGAATCTTAGTCTCTATTTTCTGGCTTAGTATTAAACATGCATCTTTCTATGCAGAAGCATATGGCTTGAGACTACTTATAGAGTAGGTTATACGGTAACTTAACGTTTATACTACAGTACCATAGTCAGGACTGTGACTATACTGTATAAAGAAATTGTACCAAAGATGTACAGTATAAAAGTTTCAAACCGTAGGATTTTGAGTGCAGACTGTTGCATAACCACTCAGGTACCTAAATAACTCATCTGAAGATAACAAATTCTTTAGTCTGAGATTGTTAGTGTTTTGAAGATCAAACTCAGATTTCATTACTTAAGACACATGGTTTATCTAGACTGCAAGGTGCAATGTGTGTCTCTTTTCTCGTGTTGGCTCATAATGCATTAAGTTGATGGGAAATTCCAAGCTTACTGCTCCTAGTAACAGTCTTCATAGCTCCATGTAAGACGGGGTGAAAGAAGTAGGTTGGGGCATGTGTTCTGTAAGGGCAACTGACACCAGATATTCCCCCTACCTCTGTTAGTTTAATTTATTACTGAATATAACAAAGGGCAGTTTCTATCTCATCAGAAATTCTGTGATTTCATGTCTCAAACTAGTACACTAAAAATGGCAGTATCAACTTAATACTAAGAGCTATTTTCAAAAAAATGTTGGTTAGTTTTTATAAATCTCTTACTTCAGATTGAAAATCAAGTGTTTCTTGAATTTAATATGCAGTTTACACAAACAGTGATCTTAAAGCATACTTGAAAGGAATGCAGTTATTTACCTGCACTTAGTAAAGCAAAGACAGTGACAACAACCATTTTGATGGAAAACATAAACTCTTTTGTTAGTAAAGGTGAAATAGGGTTTCAACAGAATGTTACAAACTTGATAAAAGTTTCATTGTACGAAGTGAGCTGCACTGTACAAAGAATGGAACACAAGTTTGTTTAAAGTGGATGAGTCACATTACACATAAACTGCTGGTTTCCTTTATACTTTTAAGTGGTGTTAATTTTCTGTTTACCAGTTTGAAATAATTGAAATTAATATTATTCTTTGAGGTTACAGTATATTTACACAAACATTTTTCATTACTCATAATAATTGACAAACCCACATTAACTCAAAATGTTGAAAAATCAGGCAATAACTTCGGGGTTCTTTGTTTTCCTTTTTTTTTCTTCTGTCTCTTAGAATTGGGTAGAAAAAGCAGAGAAACAGAAACTACTGTCAGACACCCTTGACCTTTCAGAGCTATTTCATCCAGACACATTTCTCAATGCCTTACGCCAGGAGACTGCAAGGTGAGGGAAAAATAATCTGCCTATTTATGTGTGCTAATGTGCCGTTGTTCCCTATGCGTGAAGATGGTTATTTTGTTTTCAGGGCACAGATCTAACAAATTATGTCAATTGCTGTCATTAGTCATCTCATTGTTATTACTTGCACTGAAGTAGAATAGCTGTGAGTTACTTGTTTAAATGCTCATTTTTTTTTTATTTTAGATGAAATTAAAAATTTATTTTTCTTCTAAGTAATACTTAGTATGATATGGTACACATTGAAAATATATTGGTTTTGGTTTTGTATTTCATTTCCTGTTGTTACATGTCTCTCAGATTTACTGTATATATGTTTCCCTTGCAGAGTAATGAGCTGTTCAGTGGACAGCCTTAAATTTACAGCATCATGGAAAGGACGAATACAGGAAGGCAAACTCCAAGTTAAGGTATTTTACTAGGATGTTTTACTAGAATTTTACGAGGATGTTTTATTAGCATAGTCCAAGTCATCTGTCCATAACTTTCTGGAAAATTGAGCTAGAAATACATTGGTGTACCTGAGATACAAATGCTGGTTAATGGTATGCAGCTACAAAAATGGTAGTGCAGAAATTCTGCAGAAATGGGAGAAGGAAATCAGTTATCTTTTTATCCCTCCCTAGTCACAGTGCTTATTTAAAATAATTTAAAATTTAAACTTATTCTCGCTCCATTCTCTTCAACCACCTTTTAGATAAAAATTGAAGCTGCAATTCTATTAGTTAATAGCTAACTGTTGTCCAGAAAGTAGCTATCCAGAAAGACTTGTGGCGTGTAGCAAGAGGAAATACACACGTAGATCTGGAAGTCTAAGGCCATGTGTTAGCATTTGTCAAATCACTGAAAAGAGACTTCTAAGGAAGTAAACAGACCAAAGTGACTATAATATGACTAGCTTTTGACATGATAAAGACCAAACAATTTTTTAATGGACAGTTAGGTCTGCAGCCAGCAGCCATAAAGTCACTACTGATTGCAAAGTAGAGATGAATCCTCAAATGGTTTAGTTTAGCTTCTTAACGTTTCAGGTGGCACTGCCACTTCGGCTGAGTGCAGATCTCTTCACACCTGTTTTATATTTGATTTCGTAGGGAGTTCACAAAATATGTTTTCTATGCTATGTCTTCCAACAGGTATGTTGGTCCCATGATAATACTGCACAGCTCAAAGTGCTGTGTTCAGCACAGAGAATGGTACTTAAAACTGTGTTCTTACAGAAACATGGGTGAATAATGCAGGGCACTCACCACGTGACTATGTACTGATGTGCAGCTAAGGCAGAGAGATTGCTAGACGAGAGAGATTGCTAGACTAGGAGACAGAAAGCAAGTGGCAGGGCACTTTCTCTAGTCTGGTAATGCAGGCAGACACAAGGCTGTGGGAGATATTAGGGTTCTGGGTTGGCTGCTGACACCATCTAAAATTATTAATACAGAATGTGTAAGAATTCATATTGCTAAAATATTAATAGATTGTAAGGCTAGAAAAGATAGCTGTAATCATCCACTCTGACCTTTATACAGTATAGTCTTTTGAACATTGTTGAATTAATTCCTACTGGAACTCGAGAATATAATTTAGAAAATTATTCAATCTTGGTATTTAAATGAGAGTAATGGTTGCCTGCTTCATTTAATGAGAAGCAGATGGGAGTCTAGAACCTGGAGATAAATAAACCAAGGGGCTTTTAGGGCAATTTGATTCCCTGGGGTAAACCTGGGATATGATAAACCTCAGAGCCTGCAAATCACATGTTCAGACGTTCCAGGTTCAGCTGACTTCTATGTCCATAGCAGTGTGCCAAAACTGAGTTACATATCTCAGACCACTCATTCTAGTAGGCTATCAGCTGCAGATCCTAGAAGCCTGGACTTCTTCAAAACTATCCTACCATCTTTGAAAAGTGTCAGAAGTCAATGTCAAATACCTGAACTCCATGCATGAATAGTATTACCTAAGTATTTTCATATGCTAAAACATTTGACAATATTTTACATTTGCTAGATTGAAGTAGCTGCTTGGAAACTAAAGAATTAAAGGGTAATTAGAGCAAAGAGTTTTATAACAACACTCCAGTTAGGTGTATTGCAGCTTATAATTCTTTGTTATGTGCAAAATTTATGTGGTAGATTTCTGGTAATATTAGTTACACTACACTGTTAGCAGTCACTGTTATATGTAGGCAAAACCAAATATTCTCTATTGCTTTACATGAATGAGTCTTACATTCCAAGCAGAATCAAAAATAAAAAGAGAAGTTTGTTTAAGAGCAAATTCTCTGCCACAGGAATAGTAGAAGCAGTTAGGTGAGTGGTTATTTTTAACAAAAGGTAAGAATCTTGTCAAGTTTACTTGATTTGAATATCATGCTTTCCTCAGTAAGAGCAATATTCAGTGAATCTGTATTTAGTAAGTATTCACCAGTATCTTCACTGCTGTGGTGGGTTGACCCTGGCTGTATGCCAGGTGCCCACCAAAGCTGTTCTATCACTCCCCTTCTCAAATGCATGGGGGAGAGAAAATGTAACAAAAAGCTCGTGGGTCAAGATAAGGACAGGGAGAGGTCACTCAGCAATTACCATCACGGGCAAAACAGACTTGACTTGGGGAAAATCAGTTTAATTTATTACCAGTCAAATCACAGTAGGAAAATGAAAAATAAACTCAAATCTTAAAACACCTTCCCCCCACCCCTCCCTTCTTCCTGGGCTCAACTTCACCCCTGATTTTCTCTACCTCCTCCCCGCAAGTGGTGCAGGGGGACAGGGAATGGGGGTTGCGGTCAGTTCATCACACGTTGTCTCTGCCGCTCCTTCCTCCTCAGGGGAGGACTCCTCACACTCTTCCCCCGCTCCAGCGTGGGGTCCCTCCCACGGGAGACAGTCCTCCATGAACTTCTCCAATGTGGGTCCTTCCCACGGGCTACAGTTCTTCACGAACTGCTCCAGCATGGGTCCCTTCGCAGACTGCTCCAGTGTGGGTCCCCCGTGTCATACAAAGTCCTGCCTGCAAACCTGCTCCAGCATGGGCTCCTCTCTCCCCATGGGTCCACAGCTCCTGCCAGGAGCCTGCTCCAGCGCAGGCTTCCCACGGGGTCACAGCCTCCTTCAGGCACATCCACCTGCTCTGGCGTGGGATTCTCCCTGGGCTGCAGGTGGATATCTGCTCCACCATGGACTTCCATGGGCTGCAGGGGGACAGCCTGCCTCACCATGGTCTTCACCATGGGCTCCCGCACCTGGAACGCCTCCTCCCCCTCCTTCTTCACTGACCTTGGTGTCTGCATAGTTGTTCCTCTCACAAACTCTCTCTCACTCCTTACCCCCGCTGCAGTTTTTGTCCCGTTGTTCTCCTTTGTCTTTTTCCCCCTTCTTAAATACGTTATCCCAGAGGTGCTACCACCGTCGCTGGTGGGCTTGGGCTTGACCTTGGCCAGCGGTGGGTGCATCTTGGAGCCAGCTGGCATTGGCTCTCTCAGACACAGGGGAAGCTTTTGGCAGCTTCTCACAGAAGCCACCCCTGTAGCCCCTCCGCTACTAAAACCTTGCCACGCAAACCCAATACAACTGCTCCTTTGAATCTTTGATGTACAGAAAGGCTTTGGAACCCTTTGCGATGCTGAATATTTAGATTCCTTTCTGTGAGTCCTTCCTCATGCTCGTGGAGAACTGGGGAGAAACTTTCACATTAGTTAAGCTAAATACCACATGGAGTGTAACATGGCATAAAAATGTCAGTGATTCAGAAAAATCATCCTCTAAAATGTATCTTGTTTGATAAGGATCCTCTGGGTGGCATGTTAAGCTTGGTTCACATGAGGAATATGAATTTTAATACTGGTAAAGTTAACATTGTAGCTGCAGTATCAAGAATTCAGGCTAACCTTGTAGAATGGGGAGCTATTTTGAGTGGGGAATGGGGAGCTTGAGTGAAAAAAAATTCAATCAGCAGAATAGGTAAGTCCTTAAACACATGCTATGGTGAGGTAGCTCGGACCCTATTTTATCCTACTTGACTTTAAATGCCTAAATCGGAAATTGGAGTTTACCAGCCTCATTTTGTCAATGAAGACAGACATGCGTCAATTCAGATTAAATTCAATGAGTTAAACAATTTCAGGCGATACCTGTCTTTCTCCACTGACAGGAGAAAACCTAAAATTGCTATGATCCTACCACTGTAGGAGCTGGTAGGTCCTACCAGGTGAATTGCCTGAAGGTAAAAGGTTGGGTTTTTTTAAACTGTCACATTTTGGAAGTTTAAATATACAGGTATCTTTGAGACATAGCGTTCAGGAAAGAGTTATTTAAAGACTTTTCAGACTTTATGCAAAATATATGTTAAGTTTATACAATGCTGTTATGAAGAACACCAGTTATCTACTTGATTAAAGATATCATCACTGTATAAAAACAGCAGTGCTGATAAGAACATTTCTTCTATAGAAAGTGTGGTACATGAATGGAAAATCTTACATAGGAGTGAAATAGAAGAAAACAAAGTGTAATCACAACAGTGATTACAACAAGGTTGTAAAAACAAGGTGGAAAGTTTTAACCAAAAAATAACATGTCTACTTTTACTGGCTTAGGCTACACATGATCCAGTTCAATACATACAATCCTCAGTGAACTGGGCCACTACAAGTTTGACATTGTGTATCTCAGCCTTATACTTAACTGTTACTTCCTCATTGGATATTCTTCTGTCTGCAGATAAGGCTACTAAGAAATTTTTCGCATTTAAAAATTCAGTTCATAAGCAAAAGATCTGTTTCTATTTCATTTGTGTGCAGAATAAGGTAACTGAAATAAATGTAAAATGTTTCTTGGCATCCTATTGTGTATACATCTATGAATGTATTCAGTTAATAGTATATATGCATAGATATAATTTTGTGTCTGCACAAACACGTTTTTTTGTTCCCTTTGGAAATTTTCTTTTTATTATGATTTATTGTGTTTCAGTTTAGAACCCACCTGATCATACAGCTTTTTGTCTATAAGACAAACTCAGATATACCCAGTCCTGCTGTTCTCCTCCTCCTTGGCGGCTTTCAGGTCTTCAGATTATTTTATCCAAGTGGCATGAGCCTGCATTCATTTCTTTTTGCTAAGCCACTGTCTTCTTAAGTAAGATAGATCTTCAAACTATCAGAAAGTTTATGATAAAATAATTGGTAGACTTGGTAAATATGATTTATTTTTTTCAGATGATTTGATTTGTTGATTCTTCATATTCTTTCTTCACATGATTCAGACTGCAGGTTTAAAATTGGATCTCTCACATCCCCTACAAGAACCAGATCATGGTATAGGCTGTTCTGAGGTTTATCAGTCTCAATTTATGCTAATGGTGCTATTTCACTTTGTGTGACTATTTCCACCGAGAGACTTGATTCTGTACTCACATAGTTGGGGCGCTCTGTTTTGGGATATGGGAGACTCGTGTTCAAGTCCCTGAATCAATGGCTATTTAATTATTCTAGTAGAATATCTTTGTTGAGGGATCAGAACAATTAGGAATGCAGATGAACACTGAATTTAAACCTAAGATTCACACATACTTTGTATAACTTTCTTAGTTGCACTGTCAGTTAGTGACTGTTTTGAAGATATGTTCTTCGAGATTTTTTTTCTTGCCTTTAATTTTAAAAGTTTTTGATGGCTTAGAATTTGTTCTGATAAGGAAAAGAAGGTGAAAATCTCATTAGGATCTGTATGATGAAAATGCTTTTTCAGTCTTCCTGCACTTTTAAAAAAATGGCATCATGCTTCAGCAATTGTAGACATTTAGAGTGATCTTTGTGTGCCAAAAATTTCAAATAATATACCCTGTGATCATCTGTAAGTCAGAAGTACAAAGTGCTAGAACTGTCACTGTAACTACAAAGTAGGCAGAGGAACACTCAATCAGGCCAAGAATACACCTGAATCTAGGTGGATTATCAAATCTGATGTTAAATTATGAGTGTTAATTCAGGTGATAATTTAGACGTATGATGTGGAGTAGATCTCTCCTAGTAGGACGTGATGAGTATCTGATTTAGAATCAATCTGTATAAAATTACACTGTAATATCACTTCGGATTGCTTTAACAAAAGGTACTGAAAATGTATGGCTATTGCAATATAATCACATATTGATATGCAAATACTGTTTGCTTTGTGCACTGATTGTGCTGTTTTACAAGAGAAGGTAGTCACTCCTTTTGGCATTTCATTTTCTGTTATTGTAGAAAAGAATGAAAGAAAGGAAGAAACATGGTAAGAGACTTTTTGGGTAGTAAGTGCTATAAGCTTTGGTAGAACTTAATATAAATAGTGAAAAACAAAGATTTATTGCAAAACTATAATATTCAAATACATAATATCAGCATTAATATCAAAACTATGTTCTTAGCAATTGACAGAAATACTTGACAGAAATACTATTGTAAGGCATCCTGAGAAGTCTTTTTTTACAGTTGTCCTGGTTTCGGCTGGGATAGAGTTAATTTTCTTCCTAACAGCAGGCATAGTGCTGTGTTTTGGATTTAGAATACTATTATAAGGCATCCTGAGAAGTCTTTTTTTACAGTATACCTCCGTCCTGAAATATAAGAAATTAATGATGGACCTGTAGAGGTAATGAAGTGAAATTATGACTTCCTGAAGTCTGCTGTAGTTTGTATCATTTAATGGGAAATTATGGCATTAAATAGTAAGGAAAAATTAATTGCAGAGAATTTGAAATTTTGGAAACAGAGATGCTTTGGATCATTGTATCAGCACATATTCTACAAATGTATTTTAAAGAAACATAATCTGTAGTATGTAACAATAGCTTTTTTGGAACTAAACTAGTACCGATAGTTGCAAAATGCCAAATATTTTGTAAGAATCAAAATTTTAAAAATTATGGTCAACTCCAGCCATTAGTCTGAGCTGAGTTGCAAAAATACTATGCATGCTAATTATAGATACTGTGAAATCCGTGTCCTTCATGGTAGTTTTCATTTCTCTATACCATTTATCATAGAAATAAGAACATGGCTATGGGAGTACTCAGCCAAACAGCATCTGAAAGGACTTTGTTCCAGTGGGTTTTTTTTTTTTTTTCCAGTGTCTCTTAATATTGAATCAAAGCCAAAATTTTGGTCTTCATCTTCAAAGGAGTTTCTGTGATTGGCTGAAGTTTTCCAGGAGATCAAATGATGTTATTTTACATCACTATAATGTCAAAGGAACTGCCAATATCAAAAGACGAAATGTGTGTGCAGTAGAAAGAGATTTTTCAATAGGTGACCTACTTCTATAGAAACTTCTTTTAGAGATGTTCAGGATGGCCAGACCTTTGAACACCCTAAGAATAAATTTTAAAACCTCTTCATCAGACCAGTCTTCCCTCAATAACTTTGCCAAACTCACATATTTATCAAACTAAACTCCATAACAAAATTCCCTGCAGAGTGCAGGAAGGATGGAAAGAAGAACATATGAGATGAATCTTTCTAGTGTTTGTGTGATAGGGATAAATAAGAGCTTTGAAAGCACTCAGTCAGAAGTGTAGTGAGATAAAGTGTAATCTAGGACCTGTGCATATATTAAAGTGAGGCCTTAAGTATCAATGTTAACAACAGAGAGCAGTAGGAAGGAGTCTGGGAAAGCCTCAGTGTAGTCATTAGTCAGTCTTTGTTCTTTTTATGATATATTTCTTCATATTCTTTTTTCTTGCAAGACAGAAGAAGTGGCACTGGAATGTATATTGGCTATCATTAAAGATTATTGACACCCAAACTTCTCTTTTACTAGATAAAGCCAGCTTTTTCCAAAATCTCTCTGTGTGGAGAGATTTTGAGTTTGAAAAGAAATGGTACAAAATATCAAATGTTAACACTGTACCTTGAAAGCACCAGACCTGAAAATCTTAGGGAAGATTCAAAGGAAAGATCACAATAAACTTGGCAGGAGAAGGGAGAGGAGTGTCACACTTTCATAATGAAGAAAAGACCTTAATCTTTTGGCAAGAGGTTGAAGGAGAAAAAAAGTTTTTGCAGTTCTGAATAGAAAGTCTGAAAGATTCAGTTAATTTCACTGAGGCCTTGTTATAATGATTTGTGGAAGTTAAAGTTAGAGAAAAAGTCATACTACTCTGAGCTTTCCATTTGTTGTTTTGGTTCAGGTTATCCACAGTTTTGGAGGCTTTACTGTGAGTCCTAGTCTGTATGAAGCACAGATTGCTTCACAGAATGTTTCCACTTCTCTGGTCACTGTCTATCTAAGGTGAAACACAGCTTTTTTCTATAGTTTTTTTAAATGCAATCTTTTATAACCTTTTTTTCATGTTAGAATATTTATATATGCATCTTGCGCATTGTAAGGAAGAATCCTCAGCTCAGAGTTAGAACAGAAATAGGACTTTAAAGAAGCAAATTTTTGAAGACTGCATGTCCTGTCTACAATCAGAAGAATAATTAGTTATTAAAAATGCAAAATATAATCTTAGCTAGTATACAGTTAGTAGAGTATTAACAAAAAAACCCCAACACCTGGGAGGAAAGCATTGCTTTTCAAGCATGACAGTAACCCCTATTGTGTTACTGTTTAATTGCAACTTTTCTTGTCAAATAAATAATTTTAGAATACTGTAATTACCTAAGCAAATTATTTCCGTTACGTCTTCTATGATACCGATCTTCATTGTAACATCATACTTTAACCACTTTTTGAAATTTAATACACTTTTTAAAATTTCTTGCAAGAGCGAATGTATTAGAAAATTATACTTTTCTTCATTTTGGTTATGTGGTCACTCATCCAGTTTCCAACAGCATTGTATTTCCTAGTTCTAGCACTACTTTATGAACCTTGTATTTGGTGAAAGCCTACCTCAGTATTATGTATTTAATTCAGGGCTTTAGTATGAGAGTATAACAGACAGATGATTTTCAGATTGTAGCTTCTGTTAGACATCTGCTCCAGCTCAAGATTTAGCCTTTTGAAAAGCTGCATGAAAGTTACTACTGAGTTAAGTTTTACTATTGCTAAAATTGAAGTTCTTACTTCAGCAGGCCGAACGGACTATTATTATTATTATTATTATTTATACTGGCAAACTATTATTATTTGTACTGGAAAAATAAAATTATCAACAGATACTGAAAATTTTATTTGGAAGTAATACATAATAGATATCATTATCATTAATTTATGCAGGACTTCAGTGAAGAAAAAAAGAGAATGTTTAGTTCAGAGACTGAAAGTACTTACCAATTAAAAGAAAGCACTTAAAACATATTACATATAAAGCATTGCATAGTTACTTATAGAAGTATATGGGATTCTTATTTAATTTTTCCAAACAATAGTTTATCGAAGAAATCTTGAGTTATGTTAAATAAAATGTTCTCTCATATTATTTCAATATACTTTGTTTGCCTCTGCAGAAGCTGTGTAATTGTGCATTCCATTCTTTGAAAGTTGTGCTCAGACTTCCAAGCAAGAAGTCATGCTTATTTCAGTGATTGTTCTTCTCTTCTTCTTGACATTGTAATGATTGTGTACTTGGCTGTTGCTATCATATTTCCATTAATCTAATGCCAGGCAGTTTCATTAATGATGACATCTACAGGTATTTTTCTCTAACATTTCAAAGAATGTGAATCCAAATCAGAGGAAGTTCACGCCAAAGCATGGTCCAGATCTTGCTTTTAAATCATATTTCCTATTCTCACACAGAACATTACAATAATTAGTTTCCTGTTATATAAAAATTTGGTTACAGTATAAAGGATCATCATTTATTAAAGCACAGTGTAATCATTACTAACATTTCAAGTCTGTTATATATGTTTGAATATTTTATATTTCCATGGCAGATCAGTGGCTTACAACTGGAAGGTTGCAGTTTTGATGGAAATCGACTTTCAGAAAATCTGCATGATTCTCCCAGTGTGTCATCTGTTCTCCCTTGTTACATGGCCTGGATTCCACAGGTACTAAATTATTAAAAGCCCTAAACTTTCAAGACCCATAATTTGCTTTTTTTTCTGTGTGGTAGCATTTCAGTATGATGTTGCTGACCTGTTTTTCCCCTCATTTCAAAACAAAAATCCCTGTCTTTAATAGGAAAAGCAGTTACTTTGATATCAAACAAGAACTTATTATAATTTTGTCAATATTTTTTAGTTTCTATTGTTTAGATTAAGAAAAGGGCTTTATTTCAGTCATACCTTTTTTCCCTTGTCTTTTTAAAAAAATTAACATATTTTCAAAAGTGTATTTATGCATGAGTTTGGGAGTTCATTCCTAGAATATATTTTCTTTGCGTTTTAAAACATTAAATTAAAATGCAACAGCAATAAAAACATAGAGAACATGATGTGATCTGTAAGCATATAAAGCCTTTCCCCTACTTACACTAATTTGAAAAAATGCCAATGCTTGCAGAACTATGTAAGATGAAAGTGAAGTAAACCAAACAGTAAAAATTGTTACTGCTTCTGCTCTCCAATTACAATAGCAATCTCTGATAAATAAAGCAAAAAGTTACACAGAACTTATTCAAGGATGTGTAGAAATTACAAATTCATATACTTTCAGTCTTATAACTAAAAGAAAGCTTATTGTAGAACTCATCTCATCTATATTTAGCTGGCTAAAAGTTAATTGCCCTCTATGACTTTGTTGCCTTAGCTCCTTCTTTGGTCTCAGTAAAAGGAAGTCCGTCCCATCACGAGGTAACTAGGATAAATCTCTGTCTAGATGTGACTCTAGAGACAGCTTAGACCGCTAACTCTGGGACAGACAGGTGAGAAGAATCCCACATACAGATCTGAAAGAAAATATATTAAGACTTTTACACCAAAAATCAAGTGTAAATGTAGACAGTGAAAAATAGGGGTGAATGCAGGTTTTTTCCACTTCTTTATTACAATAAATAAAATTAGCAGTATATAAAAAATGAAAAATAATGTCACCTTTTATCCTGTCCTGTAGACAGTAATTCATCAAGCAAATGAATTTATTAACTGGAGGAGTTTGTTATGTGGTTACCTAGAGAACTCTGCAGAGTTCTGTCTTGAGAAGGCTAGGTTTGGTTAGAAGAATGTTAAAGAAAAAAGTTCACTGGACCCAAGTAGTTGAATTTCATTTAGAACTGAGTTTATTAATTATCACAAATTATGGGAATCATGAAATGTGTGCTATATTGTGATAGATATTGTGCAAGGAACTCCATTGCTAACACACTACTGTATCCCAACTTCTTTTTTTTTCCCCTCATTGTTACTTCCAGCACTGGAAGTATAGCTTTATATTGTAGTACAGCATTAGAAGTGTAATGGTCGAGATTTAGACTTTGAACACACAAGTAAATACTAGCACCATCTGCACGACTGCTCCCAGCTTTGATGGAAAAGAAAATACTGAAAATTAAAAAATGACCCAGAACACCACAAAACCTATTACAAACTTGACCAGTGAAAGATTTTTCAGTTCTTTAGTAGTTTACAAGGTTTGTTTTGTTCAGAGAAAGAAACAGATTTCTAATTTGCTTGAAAGGTGGTGCATGAGATAAATAAGGAATTGCCAGACATCTTAATATGTAGACTCAGTGGTGGGTGGAGGAGGATGGGAATATACATGGTTTTACATGGTAACACCCAATGTTTATCATATGCACCCTGAAAATGAGGATTGCAAGTAACCCTCTTTATATTCTGAAAAACATTCATCTTGTGTTAGAGGTAAAACAGTCCTAAGTGTTTTTCTGAATAGCAGTCTATATTCTTTAAACTTCAAAGGTAAGATCCAGAAGTTATATGTGACATCAGCAGAGAGCTTTATATATAAAACAGAAGTGAGGTAGTTCAATAATCAGCAAATTAAACTTCCAGTGTAGTTCATATTTGAAATGAATAGCAACTGAAGTCTTTGCATTGGAAAAAAATGTAATTCTTTTAAAACACAGGCCAAAACTTGTCAACTGCCCCGATTTTAAATATGAAGTATCTCTAAGAGAGCATTTCTGAATTGGTCTGCCCTTAAGTTGTTTTGCTATGGGCTTCACTGTAAAAATTGACCACAGTCAAACACTGTGCTCAGAAACCAAGGCAGAATCGGGACATTATGCACTTCCCCTTATTTCATTATCCTCTCCTTAGGAGAAGAGTGCATGAAGTAGAACATATTCTCTTAGCATTCTTAGGTTTTGAATTTGTTTTCTTTTCCCCATAAATATCTCTTATGAAATCTAGTGAGCAAAAAATCTGTATATTTATAATGCAATGCTTTGAGTTCATTTTCAACCAACCTAAAATAAAGTGAACTCTTTGGGGGAAAAAAAAGTAGCCTACAGGATTTATCTGAGACAACCCCCTCAAAATGTTGCAGTGCTCAAAATGGAGTATTTTTTGCTACTAACATGATGCTTATTCTCATTCAGCTGTGAAGGTCCTTTCCAGTTTTAATTCACTGATAGATCCCAAGCTGTGAAGGGTGTCGCTAAGGGGAATAGAAGTGTGTGTGAGGCAGTCTAGATAAAGAGAAGTTTTTGACTGTGCATAAGCCAAGGACATAAGGATTTGTGGTTCAAAAAGACTTTCACAGAATGGTTTTAACCCTCAGATAATGTGAGTCCTTAAAACATCAGTGGGATTGAGAAAGGTGCAAGAACAGCTATTTTGACCTGAAAGGTGTAAAAAGAGGTCTTTGAAGGCAAACTGGCCAACTTTTGGCCTCCCAGCTTTGGCAAAACTTAAATTTTCTGAGTAACATTTTACTCTCAGACTGGCCAGCGTTTTGTCTTCTTCAGTGGTGTTAACCAAGGGATAAATGTGGAATGATCCTTCTGAGAACAGCTGAGTTCTTTTGACAAACTTCTGATTATTAAGTTATTCTATACAACTCTTACAGTGCACAGACCTTCTGTGAGGATTTAAACACTGATGTTCAAAAGACATGGGAAGTTGATTTTCAAAAGAAACAAGAAAATTCTTCAGAAATGGCTTACACTTGACGTGCAAGGCAAAGTGCTTGAAACAGTTCTTGTTTGCATATTTCCTTTTTCCTGTTTTTAGTTATTTTCTAATATTGGAGCTTCACTAACTCACATTTGATGTGATTTGCATTAAAAAGACCCTCATTTTTGTTTCAAATTCCTTTCTAACAAGTGTGCTGCTTTGTTATTTGATTCTTGAAAATCTGACATTTTCCTGTTGGCAGGAAGGGAGATTTTGAGTGTGAAGCAAAACATGCTTAATATATATCAATTGAATCAAACCCTGAATTATTTACACTAAATAAATACATAATGGGTTGAAACAAAAATTGCATGCTGTAGGAAGTCCAGACTGAGTCTTTGAGCTCAGTTCTATAGTCATGCATAGGGACAATGCCCTGTCCAAAGCCCTAGGAGGAGACTATGCCCAAGGCGCCCAGCGTTTGTAGTAAGTGTAGAAAGTGGAGAGGAGCTGTTACTGTTCTCAGAGTAGAGCATTGCTTGCTCATCAGGGTACAGACTGAGAGGTAAAGCCATGGGTACAGCCAAGGTCCTTCCCTAAGCAGTGTTTGCAATATAATTGTAAACTTTGTAATAGTAGTACTGCTAATGCTGTGCAGTAGGAAAGTACATGTGTAGGAGAATACAAATTATAAATTAATTCATCTGGAAGTTGAAAGCACTCAATTCAAATCTGAATGTTTAAAGTTAACTTGATAATTTCCTATTTAAGCACTTAATGGAAATGGCCTGTTCTCCAGAAGTGCCAAAGAACTGTGACTGTGGTCAATATTAGTATGAAAGGCATTTTTAAAAACAACATCAAAAAGTCATCAAACCTGCTTTTTTTCTTACTAATAATGTAACTTTTTACATATGTTTGCCTGTCTTGAAGTGCTAGAAGTATGTGGAAAGGACTAGGGAATTTAGGCTTTTTGTTTGTTTGTTTTAAGTCCTCATCTAACTAAATGGTGGTTAATGCTTCTGGGTTCCTCTTAATATCCTGCATTAAGTAGGGGCCCTGTGAGGCTCTAATGTAAGGTATAGTAGCTCTCTCTGTATCAGAGAACAATTTTTATATTTAGATTCACTGATGTTAGAAATGATTGTTTAAATCCATAAAGTAGCCTGGGAAGTGTGGAGTAAGATTTTTTTGGTGCAGTTCCTGAAGTATCCCCCTCAAGCATCTGGGATGCAGATCACAACTGGGGCTGCACTATGGGAGGAGCAGCAGGGTTACGCTGCAGGGAGGGAGGAGGTGAGGCAGCAGGGCTCGCCGAGAGCACTGCCTGCCCCAGGATGCCAGCCTGCCCGGGTTAGCAGCTCCCGGCAGTGCGGCGCTGGTGCTCCCGAGGGGCCTTCTTCCCTCTGGGAACTGCTCAACACTTCCCTTGCCCCTGGTTTGCAGAAGCTGTTGACATGTAATTTTGGGGGTTTTTAGGTGCATGAAGATTTCGATATGTAGTTCATAGAATCACTCCTATTACATACTTTCTTGTCTTTTCAGTTTAACAAACTGGAGAGAAAAAGTAGAGGCTTAGTTATGGAGTAGTCTAGCGAATTTTCTGAAGTCTCTCCTTTGTTAGTAATCCTACTCCTTTGTAGCCTGGACCAAGAGTTGCCTGTCCAAGGCTGCAGGATCCAGTTTTAGATCCAGTTTAGGATCCAGCTTTAGATACCGTATCATTGGAGAGTATTCCGTTCTCATGTTTTGTTGTCTGTTTAAGTGATAACTAAGTGCTTGCTTGTTCACAGGATGCGTATGGTCCATATTCTCCAGAGGAATGCATATCTTTACCAGTCTACGCTAGCGTGGAGAGAGACCGTGTGGTGACAAATATTGAGGTACCTTGTGGTGGAAACCAAGACCAGTGGATTCAGTGTGGCGCTGCTTTATTTTTAAAAAATCAGTAATCTGAAACTGCGTTAAATTAACTCTTGAAGTTAAGAATCTTTTAAACATCTCAGTTGTTTCTTATTAAAAGAAAACTTTAGATTTATTGCTTACACATTTTTAAAGCAAAGGTTTATAAATTCCTCTGTTTATTTTTTTAAGATATATAAAATTTATTCTACTTGAATATAACTTCATTGCATCTTTGTGGGATATTGTAAAAGTTAACATGGCACTATTCAGCAAACCGTTAATTTGGGTTATTTCTCTGGATTGTAATGTGCTTTTCTCAGACTTGCTAAGATCTCTTATGTTTTGCCCATAAATACTGAATATAAATTCAAAGTCAGTGGGGTTTTTTTGATCAGGTTTTTTCATTATCCTTTTTGAACTGTTATGCCTCCATTATTTAATAAAATAAAATGATAAAACTTACCTGCTGTAATTGAAATTCAGTGTTTTACTTGAATATAAAAATCAGGATAGATGTTTCAGTCTGTTACTTGTTTACTTGTTCAGTCTGTTTACTTGTAATCATATTTCTTTGTACTGGTAGTAAATAATAGGAGCTTCATAAACTTCATGTGGAATTATGAATTCAGTTAGACTACCATCATGGTTGTTATCTAGAAGTTACTGAAAAGACATTTTATTAAACTATACTGAAATCCAGTAAGAATGTGCACATAAATACCCAAGATAGGTAAACAATTCCTTAGACAAACAAAAGGGGTTTTCACCCAGTTGTTAAGTGATTAACAGAGGGATATAATAATGCTTTTGGTCTGTGATATGAGACCCCCCCTGGAGTCTTGTTTTTAGTGCAGGATACTCAAGTTTGATTTCACTGATTCATGATGTATCATGTTGAGATGCTGCCATAGCTTTGATGTGCAGTTAGACAAAATCCCAAACGAAGCAGGAAACCCAAAATCCAGGAGGAAGCAGCATTACTGAAGAATGATGAAGTCTCAACTTGAGAACTGAAAGTGTCTAATTTTTAACTGCAATTACAGAGTCAGCTCATGCTTGGTTTGCTTAGAAAACAAAATAGATGTCTTTGCTCTGAGATCTGTAATAAATTTTATATTGATTTTAAAGTAGTATTTAAATTAAGACTATATTTCACTTGCTTGATATTTTTCATTGGTGGTTTGAGGGAGGGAGAAGGAAAGCAGAGAAAACATTGGCCACATCTCCAGGTTAACTTCGGAAGAAAGTCTTTTTCTCTGTTCTACTCTATTGTTTATCCTTTAAACTTGGTCTTTTGTCTTCTCTTTGGAAAGTTTCCCATTTTAGTTCTTCTTCTAATAGAAAGGTGTCTTAAAAAAATTTGGTACAAGTGCACATACATTTTTAAAATTGAATCCTATCTAAAAGCAGAATAGCTTTACCTGATACTTTTCAGATAATTGTCTCATCTTCCTTTATACATTCAACTCTGATTCACTGAAGAATAAAAATGCAGGAAATTTGGATAAGTGTACAAGCTCTGTGAGGATTTAGAGGGTGACTTGTCCAGAAAAACTGTTCTGTCATACTAGGCTTTCTTGGTAAAACATCATTGTGAGAGGAAACAAGTTTTACTGGTGGAAACTCTGCTTTCAATTCCCTTAGGCACATGTAGAGATCACGTTGCAACCTTCCCTTTTGGATCCAACATGTTTCCATAAAGCAGACTGGATTTTAGCTTTCATATTTCTCAAAACTGAGGGATCTACTGGTTCCTACTAGTTCCAGCCTCTCTTTTGTAGACAGGTAGAGAAATACAGATATTCAGATAACTACCTATGTTAGGGCAAAGATGTCTGAAAAATAGACATCATATTTTAACCTGCCTTAAACAGAAAGTAGAGACCAGAAAGGTAGTAGGTGGTTTTGATGGCCAGTCTTCCTTGTTATGGGAAATAAAAACGTACTGTAATGGGTCGTAGAAACCCTGAAATGAAACATTAGTAGAACATTGTGGGGATTTTCCTGGTTTGGTTTGGTTTGGGGTTTTTTTTAATCCTAATTGTAAACTTCAAAGATGCTTTTCATCCTGCCAAGTGTAAATACAAATATTAGAGCCTCTGGGTTCAAGTCTCCTCTTTTTATGTATTTAGTCAGGAAGTCTGTCGTGGTTTAGCCCCAGCCAGCAACTAAGCACCACGCAGCCGCTCGCTCACTCCCCCTACCCCGATGGGATGGGGGAGAGAATTGGAGGAGTAAGAGTGAGAAACACTCCTGGGCTGAGATAACAACAGTTTAATAATTGAAATAAAGTAAAATAGTAATGCTAATAGTAACAGTATAATAATGATAATAATAATAATGATACACGAAGCAAGTGATGCACAATGCAATTGCCCACCACCCGCCGACCGATACCCAGACAGTTCCCGAGCAGCAATCGCTGCTCCCCAGCCACCCCCCCCCAGTTTCTATACTGAGCAAGACGTCATATGGTATGGAATAGCCCTTTGGTCAGTTTGGATCAACTATTCTGGCTGTGCCCCCTCCCAGTTTCTTGTGTGCCTGGCAGAGCATGGGAAGCTGAAAAAGTCCTTGACTAGCATAAGCAGTACTTAGCAACAACTAAAAACATCAGCGTGTTATCAACATTCTTCTCCTACTAAATCCAAACCACAGCACTATGCCTGCTGCTAGGAAGAAAATTAACTCTATCCCAGCCGAAACCAGGACAAAGTCTTTACTGATTCTATTAATATACAGATACTGACTCTATCATAAAAAACAGATATAAAAGACACTCCTCCAGACCTACCACACTATCTTTATTTGCATTTCAGGGTCAGGAACTGATTCAATTTCTTACCAATAACTTGTCTGTATCCTAACCCTCAGAACTGGCCTAACTCTGCTGTGGAGGCTTGTTACCTCTTGTATCTATCATCTCCTACTGCCTCAGATTTAGAACTGCAGAATATTTCTCAGCTCACACCATGTTTGGACATGCATTCTGCATTTCTGTCAGCGAGCTGCCTTTCTGTGAGTAGAAAGTACTGTTAGCCAGCTTGATTAAATCTCCTTTTGTTTGGTTCACCTGTTAGTTTAGAGCCCTTTCACATTACCAAAACTGTCTGCTTGCTTCTGCTCTTTCTGATTCCTTCCATGAGTGATATGAAAAAAACCCTTTTAATGTTTAGCTATAACTAGAGCACTGAATTATATTTTTATTTGAGCAAGAAGTCCTTTGGGAGCTCATCTAGGCTGATCTATGTTACAAATGTGAAAGGCACTCTCTTCCTAGGTGCCTTTGATGTGCTTATTTTTTTTAGCATAGGACAAAAAACGGATTTAAGTAAATCCCAAGCTAGTTTGGCAGCTTAAATCTAGTAGATTTTTAATGATGTTATATTATCACAAAAATCGTGAGAGCTGTATATTATGTTCACAGTGTATTAAGCAGGATGTTTGATACTTATTTTGACCAAGTGATTCACTAATCTTTCCTTCTCATGACTCTAGTCATAACTCTGATGTTTTGAAAGGCTCCCAGGTGACCTAAAGAGGAAAAAGAGATTACTTCTCATGTGTTCCTTGATATTTATTGTCTGTATGCATTGTATGATGTGCTTTCTTTCTACACAATGTTGTAATCTAAATGAAAGATACTATAGGTAACTACTACTGTATATCATAGGAATTATATTTTTGGTAGTAAAAGACAGAACTGTAGAGTGTTTATTACCACCAAAGTGCAGCTGTGTCACAAGCATAGACCATTCAGAAGTATGAATCAGGAAATATAAGAAATAAAACCATCAGAAATGCCTTAATGGTCTGACTAGTGTTTCAACGAGTCTGTTCTGCTATTGAGTTTCAAGGGTATAGGAACTTGTAAGACTAAAATATATAAAGAGATCTTAGAAAACACACATTACTACTCTGTAAACACCCTCTTTTCAAGACTTGAGAAAGAGGCACATCTTGAGCAAGTGCAGATTGTTATCAATAAAAATTAAAAGTGACAAAACGTAAAGTGAAAAGCACCTTTAAAGAATAACAAAACCTTTGAAAATAATGAAGATTGTGCAGTAATATCTGAGTGTGCTTAAAATACAATTTTTTTTTCACAAGTGTATTTATTTTATATTTAAAAAGGAACAGTTTCTTCCTTTCACACTTTATAGCAGTCAAGTATTCGTCAAGTATTGGTGCTATCATCCATTGGAAGGTGTGCTCTTTGGTGCATTTAGCAAGCTCACAGCAAGTCTACGGTCACAGAGCATGCTGTGTTCCCAAAAAGAAGAATGTGTGTGTGTTGAAGAGACTCACTTTTTTTGTTGTTATTTGAGATAAACTACCTTTCAGAAACAAGACCTATGATTGTGATAGAATACCTCAAATTGTTGTAGTGATAAGGGAAAATTCTACAGAGTTGATTTAAGATTTTTGTTTTCCAGAACATTTTTAGAATTTTGCTAAAATCGGAACACTGCAGTGGAAGGGAAGTTATGCAAGTTATGCCAAGTACAAATAAAACTGGTCTTGCAAATTAGTCTCCCCCCCCCCCCCCCCCAAAAAAATTTCTTTATTTCAGCTTTTGGAGAACAGTGCTCAGAAGAGCAGTAATTTCTCCCAAAACAGCTATGTAATTATTCAAGCTGAAGGGGGGAAAAAAATGAACTCCATGCTCAAAAGCATCAAATATGCATCATTATACGACCTCTTAAACTGATAAACTGTCTTTCATTGACATAAATTATAGTTAGTACTGGTTACCATACTAAAAATGTGCAGGCTTGACTACAGATAGAAATTCTTGTATAGTTTTACATATACATTCTTTAATCCTTTTAATTTTTACATTTTTAATCATTTGAAAATGAAAGATGTGAATAAGAAACTAGAAGTAGAAGAGTCTGAAGACAAACGAGAGTGGGTCACATCTGAGAAAACAAGCTCACCGTCTGTAAGTCCTTATGCTGCATTCTCCTCTGAAGGT